TCAGCGGCAGCCATCTCTCGGCGACGTCTGGCGACGTATGACGTGGTGAGTCGAACATGCCGAGGGGTCATCGCGTGTGACTCCATGAGCTGCTGGCTGGAGGCCGCCACTCCACAAGCAAAACACCTCAAAAAGTTGTCGGAGAAGACCTGGACGTGAGGTGGTGACTTTGGGGCAGCAGAACGTCGGGCAACTTGGCGAGGGGAGGGAGTCGGCGGGTCGGTATCCTCGTCCTCGGGAAGCCCCGAAGGGACTCGGCTCCGTCCTGTCAGCCATGGAGGTGAAGGCCTCCGGAGCAGGCTCCAGGGGGTTATCCGGAGCAAGGGAAAGCTCCGGGCCCTCAGCCAAAGAGGCGAGGGAATCCAAGGGCCCTGGAGTAGGCGTCCCGGCGCCGCTAGAGGCTTCAGCATCCCTTGCACTGGACACGGGGTGCCCCGAACCGGCGCCTGAGGCACCGCGAGGTGGAGAGGGGTCTCCGAAGACTGGCCGTGGGCCGTCACAGAAGGGGCAGCTGAAAGCGGAGGGAGGCCGGTGGCCAAGGGTTCCGAAGGAGCACTCAAGGCGGACCCTGCAGCCTCGGAGGCGAGGGTGGGCCCTTAGGTGTTGCCACTTCTGGAGAGGATGGCCCATGGCCGGCTTAGGTGGTGAGCACGGTGCAGAATCCTTGGGCTCAGCCTCAGGGTGGGAGGCAGACCGCGGCCGTAAAGCGGCTGGGGCTGGAGAGGCAGTGCTGGCAGAAGTTGGGGGAGTAACCGGCGTTGGAGGTCCACGGTTGCGGGGATGAAAACTTAGCGGGGGCCCCGTGGGCTCAGGGATCACACAAATCAACTCCCCCTCTTGACCGTAAGGTTCCTAGACCCGGTCCTGTCCTTATTATTATTAACGGACATCAGTCGGTCGTTTGCATGAAGCACTCATTGGTGCACGTGAAACATGAATGGAAACAAGAACCTAGAATTTGTCAAGAACAACAGTCAAGTCATTCACCAGCTCAGTGAGCGCGGTGCGCCAAGATGCAATCACAGAAGCATCACAAGCCACGACGCGCTTACAGCGTCTATGAATCTTGTCAGGATACTTGAGGAAGTTAATGGAAACCCCGCAGAAGTGGCAAGCGGGGACATCCTCCGCCCAAGCAGGGGCAACAAAGTGGCAAAGCTTCTGCGGTGAACAGTCAAGAAAATGAAGATTAGTGTCCAGAATTTCACGCAATTTTTCAAAGAAAGCTTTCTTGGATTTGAACTGCAACTTAGCCGTGGCGGCGGGAGCAAAGAAGGATCGGATTGTGTTGACATCTTGCTCTTTCCAAAAGGCAAGAGTTCTCTCAGAAACACTACAAAGCGTAGTTTCCGTACCAATGCTTAAGGCAGTTTCTTCCCAAGGTAGGTGTCTGCGCTTGCGGCGACTGCATCTAATCCATTTGCTAGTGAGAGGGTCAAGGGAAATTACATTTTGATGCTGGTCAACCAATTGCAAGAAATCTTGCGTGCTAAGCAAGTGATTCTTGAACTTCAAATTTCTTTCTGCAGCAAGTTCAACATGCTTGCGCACTAGCTTGACACAAGTATCCGCGATGCTCCATTGCAACGGGAGTCCAAAAGCGTCACAGAAAACACGAGACACAGGCATTTTATTACACCACAAAATTTCAGCCCCAGAGTCAATGTTAAAGTCCTCAAAACCGAAATCATCCGGGAGGGCATTACTGAGAAGGTCTAGGGAAAGAACTCGGAACTTCCAGAGTGCAGCACCTACATTAGGGCATCTGGCACAGAAAACGGCTCTATTGCCACCCATTTGCAAGAACACCAGGGCAACATGCATCCATGAACTGAAGGGGACTTTACCATCAAAGTCCACGATGGTCCAGTTCTTCCAGAAGCTAAAAAGCGCATTGTAATCTTGTCTTGCCGCACCCCAACGGTGCAGAGAAGACAATTTCGCAGGTGGTTTCCAATGCAGTGGGAGCCTGTCCTCCGGACATACTTTGCATTGCTGTTGGCGCAGCACCGCAATTCCAGTCAGGGACTCTGCTTGCGCTTGGCAATCAATTTCATGGGAATCCTGAGTGATGGGCATGATAGCATCAGGATTCCTCTGAAACATCATCCAAGTCTCAAAGAGCTCAGAAATGCAGCGTTGCACAACGTGCCAATTTTTCTTTGTGTTTACAGGGAGGTCCGTTGTAGCAATCAAACAGAGTTTAGCACAATTAGGCCAGGAACTGTGCTCAGATAGGACTGCGGGCCATTCCTTCCGAATGAATTCGAACCTGGGGCAATGATAAGCAATATGCTCAACGTCCGCATCAGGGCAACTGCAATACCTACAGGCAGGGGTAGGCACAATGTTCTGTCTATACAGCCTATGTGGAGTGGCATGCGCGTTTGAAAGTAGCCGCATAAGCGCAGTTCTGCCATACTGTGTACTGTCCATACTCCGAACCAGGGCAGTGGTGACTTTAATGTCAGCCTTTGAGACCCCTTGCCATCTAGCATGTTTAGCCTCAAGACCCTTGCACATTTTATGTCTTATGCAATCCCTAAGAAAATGCTGAAACTTTCCTTTGTTAGTTTCAAAAAGAGAAACCTTTAAGTCCAAATCCGCATGTGTAAGGGAAGCAGTGTTAACATCAAACGAGCAACCGAGCCAATCAATGTCCTGCGCAAGAAGGGTTAGAGGACCCTTATCTTTGGTCTGACGGCAACAAGGATCATTGATATGCTCAAGCACAAATCTTGCAACTTCAGGCATCGTAAAGGCTCTACGCCAACCATTGAGCGCAGAGTACACACAAATGGCTTCTGGTTCAAACAGATGCGTTTTGTGAAGGAACAGAGCCTGAGCAAAATGAGTGGCGAAATGCCTGTCAGCGCAAGCTTGGGAGATAGCACCCCGAAGCTTAGAGAATTGCAGCTTTGTAGGTCTGGCCACCATCGCAGCATAGGCCAACGAAGGGGCAACCTTACAATACACGACTCTAGAGGCTTGCTCAAAGGGAATTCTGGCTCTAGCAGCCTAGCAGTTTTGTGTAATGCCGCACACATTTTTTCAATTATCGGGTCAAAATAAGTCTGTCGGCCCATGTCAAGAAAAGGAAGGGGAATACCAAGGTAAACAATGTTATCTTCATCCCTAGCGACAGGGTCCCCATTTATCCATTTGATGTTTTCAAACTGTGGGTTAGTGCCAAAAGCCACTGTTTTGGGTTTCGTGGTGAACCCTCGGGCCGCATCCCAAGTTTCAGTAAAAGAAAAGACCTCCTGAAGGTATTGTCTACTAACATCTAAAAGGAGCCTATCATCGACATAGACTTTGCAAACTTTTAACTGTCTGGGCAACTCCTGTGTCCACTTGCCAAGAACCGCAGCAGCCACAAGCATGGAGAGCGCGTCACCCTGTGGAATACCTCTTCCACATTGAAATGGCCGGGAGAGGATTGCACCGTTAAGGGAGGGGTACCTTTTGATGTATTTAATACCAGAAACCCAAGCGGCAATAGCTTCAGGCGGAAATTGCAAGGAATTAAGACTTTCAGCTGCGTGTTCAAATGAAATGCTGTCAAAAAATTTCGCTGTGTCAATGGCAACGCCTTGCAAGATTTTAAGCCCCTTTTCGGCATGTCTCCACGTTTGCTCAGCAGCAAGAGCGGCAGGGAGCCATGCCTGTGAGCCATTGCGCCCTTTGACTCCTCCAACAGAATCTTGGGGAACTCGGTCCTGAGCAGCTTCATTTAGTGTCAGCAGCGTTTTGCTGAACACTCTCCAAACTAACGGAGAGATCGACAGAGGCCTCAAATCTTTGACTTGCAATCTGCCGGCGCATTTCGGAATACAAGAAACCCTGCAGTGGAGCCACGAATCAGGAAAGGCCTGCGTCACAAGAACTTTTTTGAAAATCATGGCAAGCGCCCTGACACCATCGTCAGGGATGACCTTTAGCTGTGCGACAGTAATGCCATCCATACCGTGAGCTTTGCTTCCATCCATTTTAGAAATGATGTTAGAGATGATTTTAACCATAGTCTCATCACAATCTTCAAGTTTCTGCATGGGAGCTTTGGGCAGGTTTGGTCGGACATCAGCCCGGTCAGCTTGGTAAAGCTTCGCAAGGAAATCCGAAATCTCAAGGAGTGATTCCTGAATGCAGGTGGTGCAACCGTCAACCCCATATGTATTGGACGAGATGCAGGAAGGAATGGGTAGGTTTTTGGGCTTAAGCCACCTAAAAAGATTCTTAATCCACTGATTTTGCTTCTGCTGTGAAGGTGTGATGCGATTGCGCCACTTTCGAATTTCATTTTGAGCAAGGCCTCTAAGCTTCTTTTGGAACATGTTAATTCGATCCACATCTTGGTTAGTGAGGGCATGACTCAGCTGGTACAAGGTGTGCGAAAACTTAACAGAATCCCGAAGCCGAAAAGCGGGGGAGATACCTAAACTGTGGTGCTTACTGCAGACAAAAACAGCGAGACAGGAGCACCATTGCTCCCAGTCAGCCTGAACACTGGTGCGCCCTGGTGTGCTTTGCCATTTGCTCAACAAGTCACTCCAAAGTTGCATGTTCAGGTCAGCAACGACGGGGTCATCATCTTTAGGCATAGGTTCCCATGTGCTGGACGCTTTCGCAGTCAGATAAAGGCTAGTACAAAGGACAGCATACCCCTGTTTATTTGTGTTAGCCTTCCGCACAATACTACAAACATCTTTGAGGAGAGGCGAAACAACAATCGTGTCAATGCATGAGGTGCGACCAGCTTTTCGATAGGAAAAGAAATCGAAATCAGTATTGATGGTGAGGGGAAGCCATCCATCATGCGCAAACTGCGTAACACCAGGACCAGCCCTTGTGTCTTGACACCCGGTCCTGTCCTCCTTTCGAAGACCACGCCACAGACAAAGTCCTGTGCGTTCGTTCCTCAGTCTGTGCGTCCAGGAGCAGAGGCGGTCCTAAAAGACCCCGAGGCACAGCTCTTCAAGCGTACCTGCCGGCTTGTGAATTCATCCGAGTCGTAGCGTGGCCAAAGCAGTTTCTGCGAAGGCTCTCGGATAGTGTTGTGTAGCTTTAAGGTCAAACGTTTGTGAATGATCGTGGCTACCATCACATGCAAAGTTTCGAGACATGTGTTGAATAAAATCCGCATCGTTAGAAACAAGCTTCCATGTTTTCTTCACCAAAAGATTATCTTGACCTACCATGCCTGCCATGCACCCATGCACAAGCCCTTCGTGGTGGCCTCTGCTCCGCAGGAAGCTCTTCGTAGACTGCCAGCCCCAATAGCTGCATCTCTGTGGCCACTCGATCACCCAGACACTCACTTGTGGGTGGGTGTTCAGTTTCAACCACGATTTCCAAAGCTTTCTGTGCACTGTGAACAGGGCCTGCAAGTGCTCTTGGTGTTGGGGATTGTGGTGCAAGTGTTTTCTTTGCCAAGGGCTACCCCCGGTACAAGGCGTGCTGCTCCAAAGAACAACCTTCATTCCCAAGCTCCTGGCAACATCCATGGCTGACATGAGCCGCTCCACGGTCTCAGGTGAAGTCCCATCTACTTCCCAAAACTCAATGAACAGGGTTCCGTACGAGGTTGGGAGCTCACAGAGGCCCAAGAACCTTTCCCACTCAAGTTCAGTGTTGTCAAAGATTGAATTCAACAGCCCTGTAAGGAACACACACGAGCGAACCACCGGCACAGCACAAAGGTCAACCTGGTGAACGTCTTCCAATCCTAAGGTCGTTGTGTGTTTCGAGGTCTGGGGAATGTTGAGGTTCTTGGTGAGGAGATCACTGACGTTCTCTTCTCCGGCAACCCCGTTAATCACCAACTCGTTCTGATGCACCCTATCCTGAATAAAACAAAGTCTGATGTCTACATGTCGCATCCTCCGAAGGAACCCCTCCATCCCGGCAATCTGGCGAGCAGACGCGCTGTCGGTGTAGATGGCGAGGGGCTTGGCGATCTCGCCCCAAATGTGAGAAGCCAGCTGACCTAAACCGGCAATTTCCTCCTCGGCAATGGCAAAGAGTTCGGCTTCGGCAGAGGATAAGGCAACTACGGTTTGTAGCCTACTGTAGCCCTTCACGCAATACCACAGGGAACCGGCCACTACGTAGATAACCCCACCGCTAGTACTCTTCCTCCCGGTGCTACTTTCACTGCCCCAGTTGCTGTCACAGAACGCCACCAAAGTGGCACACTCTTCTTCCAAAGTTTCCCCGCTCCCGGCGGGAAAGACCTGATCAAGCAACGGACAACCGACCAACCACCGAAGAAATTTCCTTAGCGCATCCTCGTGCACCATCCTTGGTGCAGCTTGCCCTCTCGAAAGCATAGAGTGGAAATATGTGATGTCAGTGCGCGTCTGGGTCAACCAACCAATCTTCCCAAGGCAGGACCTGAACCTACCCGCGGCTTCTGGAGACAAAGAGGGCGATGGGGATTCAGGGTCCTCAGCATCATATAGAGCCCTAATGTCGGGGGTTGTGGCCACAGGTTTGACCTTAGCCAGGTCCTTCTCGGTCCACCCAAAGGCAGAGAAGACTGAACGCACGTACTCAGGTTTCACCCCAAGGGTGATGTTGTTCCCATCTAGCTTGATAAGCCGTCCTAAAAACTCAAGCTGGCCATCTTCATGGAGCCTTCCAGTGACTTTTACCTTTAGAACCGCACTCAGGGACTTGTGGATAAACTCAACCCCCTCTTGGCTGTCGGAGACAATCAATAAATCATCCACATAAGCTAGGGCGATGATATACGTCCACTTCTTTCCCAACTGAACCCATCCACTAAAGAGCGTGGGCTCGAGCGGCGAGGCTTTGAGGCCCAGGCCGACCATAATCTTACCGAGGTGCCTTTGCCAACTCAGGCTCGCGCTGCGCAAGCCATACAAGGCCTTCTCTAGGATCAAGTACGCGGTGCCTCCGCGAACAACGTTCGCAAACAGGAACGCAGTAGAAATGTCCAAACCCCAAACCCGCATACGACCCTTTGCGGCTCTCGAAAGTATGAGCTTGAGTGCCTCCACACTCGCGGTGTTCGAAGAGAGGCCAAGATCAAGGGCAGAGGGTTTGCCGTGCGCGAAGTCTTTCGCCACGAGGCGTGCCCTGACAAGCCCTGGGGCTTTCTGCGTCAGTACCCACCGTGACTTTATCACGCGGCACCCTGGGTTCTCTTCCTGGTAGCGATCAACCTCAGACCTGGAACGAAGGAGGCCGACTTGCAAAGAGTCGACGGCCTTGACCTCAGTCTTCATTCCTTCCCAGCTCTCTTTGTCTTTGTTGTCTAGCTGGATTCCATCGACGTCGTCGTAGGAGCTCCGAGGCCTGGAGACCCAAACCCAGCGATCCCCAATGGGCATATATGTGCCCTCTTTCTCTTGATCTTGATCATTGCAAGCAGCCAGGTCCGACCGACCAACCGACCGACCGACCAACCGACATGCTCACGCCCGACCGACCAACCGACACGCTGTCGCCGCTCGACCGACCAACTGGCACGCTCAAGCCCGACCGACCAACGTCATGCTCCACACGCTCATGCTCAAGCAACGCAATGCAAGAGTACGGCAACTTATCACAAGATGAGCGGCCGTCGACAAGCAACGAGCAAAACGCTTGCAAATCATACACATCACACGCGGTCAAGGGAGTGGGAACGTAGCGGACGCAGCCGCAGGCCCACATTTCCTCCAATAACCGAATCGCGGGGCGATCATCCTTCGGTGCCTCGGTGACACCCATCAGATCATCTTTTCCCTCGTCCTCGGAGGGCAACGAGGGCTCGTAGTCACTAAGATGGTCGTTGGCCTCCGCACCGATCTGTGGTACTTCTACTTCTTGCTCTGAGGGCGCCGAGGGCGCCGGAAACTCACGAACTTCTGAATCACCGAATCGAACCCGCTTGGCCGGTGGGCCTTGAGCGGGCGGAGGGTCCCGACCAAGCTCTTCAAGAGCGTTGTCCACAGCATCTCGGAGCCACCGCTGGTAGCGCCGGACGCACTTTATTGAATGGCGAGAGGACGTGGCCTCTTCGGAGCATCCGGGGCACTTAGGGGTGCCACCGTGCTCGCGGATCCATTCTTTGGAGGGTCCCCCTCCCGGCACATAGGGAAGGTGGAGCTCGCGAAAGCGCTCCTCATCCAAAGGTGGCACAAAGCCTTCCAGAGGCCTGGCACCGTCAAGCAACGAAGCATCATATCGAAGAGGGTAGAGCAACTTCAGACCCGGCGCAACAATCAACTTGGTTTCTCCAGAATCCAGCCGGATACGCACCTGGTGCCCGGTAGAACCAAGCACAGGACCCAGGTACACCCCACGGGCATACTTGGAATCAATCTCCTCTTTGCTAGAACGGCTGACCTTTGCGAAAACGACAGCCCCGAAGGGATAGGTCAACTGGGGCTTGTGGTCGTGGCCCCGCAGCTTCTGCAATGGAGACATGGTGCTCCCGACCGACACTGCAAAGCGATTGTGCACATGTGCCGCGTATCTGAAAAGAAACTCTAAAGTACCCGTACCCGGATCATCCCCGAGGACAACACCATTTTCACGGACTTGTAATTCGTGAGAAGACACAATCCCTTTCAAGGTCCGCACTGCTCGTTCAGCAACGGGAGCGTGGCGCTCCGGAGCAAAGCTTTCACTGTGTCCCTCATACCGTTCCGCTAGGGCCTGTGCAATGCTGATGGTCAGCGGTTCCGGATCTGAGTAGAAGGAGGGCTTAGGAACAGCGCTCTGGCCTAACCCAAAATGAGCTAGCCACGGCTCGAGATGCCCGGCTGATTCGCGTCCACTCATCCCTTCTGGTCGGAACGTCACTCCAATCGCAAAAGCAAGCACATGCACTAGAATAATAAAGCACCTTGAGCGATACATGAACTGATCTACCTGATACTCTTTATCGGGTCTGTCACTTCGCATGCGGGCTGGCGTCAGCCCTCGGCTTCTGTTGCAAGCTTCACAGCTCGCCAAGTATGGCACGTGACCCTGAGAGACATGTGACAGGCGCTTGTGCAGCTCACGGCGTGTCTCCGGATCTTGTGACATGATCAGCTCTCCCTGCCCTGCTGCTAAACCCAAACCGGCCGGACCCTCTGGTTGCGTATCGGGCTCCTTGTTGTGATTCTTCTGGTTGAGGGGGTCCTCTTCCTGCAACGGGGCAACAACAGCAGCGGAACTGAAAACTCAACATGGCTGACCGCAGAACTCACACGAAGCGTGCACTCTAGAATGTTTCCATGCATGCTGGTGCGTTGGCAAAGCAAAAAGGCCATTACTTATGGCGTCGGGCTTCGAAAGCTGTGAGACGATTACGGGGTCGGGCTGCGAGAAGGTCTCCTTGGCGGAAGTGGCGGCGGGTTGATAACCCACGTTCCCGCTGGAGGTGCCGGTGGTGGCACACCCGGTGGCGGTGCCAGTGGTGGCCCCAGAACGCTCCCCGTTGGGCTTGAAGTAGGCCGGCTCGCGGTAGGAGCAGGAGGTGGGATCGGCAATGCGGTGCGCGGACGCACTCGCCGAGATTCTGTGGCCATCTCCGCTGCAACCCTCCAGGAGTCTGCTTCTGCCTCCGTACAGATGCCGAGCCTCATCCTCGTGTGTAAGCTCTCGCCGCTGGGCGAACTCAGCACTGCACCCGGAGGTGGGTAGCTGCGTGGCACCCACGAATATGTTGCTGTTGGTGGAGCCGAAACGGGTGGTGGCGGAGGTGCCGGAGGCGGCACACGGCGACACGTTGGGTGGCGATGGCGCTTCTTGCTCCATCCCTGTGTCCTCGGCCATCTCGGTGTCCTCCTCCGCAGGTGCCTCCAATGGCGCCGTCTTGGGCGGCGTCTTGGGCATCATAGACCCTTGGGTGGTGTCTGTGGCTGTAGATCCCCGCGGCCAGCCTGTGTTGGCTTCCAGGCACCCCAGTCCTCCGAATCCGTAGGCGAATTTGGAGGCGTCCACCCTGGTGGTGTCTTGACAGGCGACCCGAAAACGGTCTGAGCTGCCACTTCCTCGCTCAGTGGCGGCAGTGGCCGCGCTTTCTCCAGCTGTTGAGTCGACCGCAGCTGGACTCCCAGAGTGTCTGGCCAAGGCCGCCGCCTGGCCTTCACCCGTCGCGGCTCCGGCTGTGATGGAAGCACACGACGTTCCACTGCTCGCGGAGGCTCTGGTGGTTCCGCCCAGATTCCCGGAAGTGCATTGCTGGATTTCGCTGTGGCTTCCGAGTCGTCCTCTGGCGGCAAAGTTGAGGCATCCGCCTTCGCCGGTTGGTTGCTGAACCAAACCAGTTGGAGAACTAGCTCCCTCGCCTTCTTGATCTCGGGCTCGGCCAAGTCCGGCATACGAAGCTGGATCATCATATCGATCCTTTCGGGATCGGAAAGCCTGTCCGGTAGAAGCCTCAAACCAGGGCGGTTCCTGGCGATCCACGACTTCATGTGATGATTGTGGCTGTCCGACATCAAATGAGCCTCCGTCGCGTGTTTCCCGCAGACCATGCAGTACTCGCAATAGTTGCGGTTGTTGTGGCTCAAGGCCTGGGGGCTTGACCACTTCCCCTCTGGGGCAATGTAGGGAGGGGTCCAACTGAAGCTGTTGACCCGGTCCGCGAGGCTCACCCCCGTCGCCTTTGGGGCAGGTGGCCCCTCTACCTCCTCGTCGGAGGATATTTCCATTGCCTCCGCCCGGCCTGTCCAGCCCTTTTTCGCACTGGCCTTCATCAGCTAAACCCTTAAGGCTCAAGCTTGTGCCTTGGCGATCTGCGGAAACCCTCTGTTCACCTACATTGTCACTCGAACTGCACACACCGTCATGCACAACCGACCGACCAACCAACCGACTATGCATGCCAAGCAAACGCTCTTCAGAATCACTGCACGCAGGTTGCACTACAGAAACTGGCTGCACTGGAGACTCACTAAAACCTGGCTGCACCCACTGGCCTCGATCGGAAGATGTGGTCCCCGAGCGCAAAGGTGAAGAAGATGGATCCACGGCACTCGATTGCAAAAGCTTTACCACTCTAGCAGGCAACTGACCTACCAACTGCACTCCAGGGCTGCCGCAAGACGATTGACCTACCAACTGCACTCCTGAGCTGTCGCAAGACGACTGACCTACCAACTGCCCAACAGAGTCCTCGCAAGCATGTGGCAAAACACTCGGTTCAACATGCGTTGTTTCATGCTGTTGTCGTGAAAAATCATGCCCATGCTGTGAAAAATCATGCTCATCATGCGAAAACTCATGCTCATGCTGTTTCTCAGGTGAGGAAAACTCAAAAGACCGACCACTCGACAGACCGGAAGACGACGAGACACTCGCAAGCGTGAGCTTCGCGGAAGAATCATCCATCACACTCTGAAGCCATGCGCAGTCGCCGAACACTGCTGGAAGCAGCACCTCCTTACGTTCCGCTGTTAAGAGACCCCGGTAAAGGGTAGGCTTCCAGCCTCTCCAACAGAGGAGGTTGAGGTTTATCAGGTTGTGTTTGATTTCGCTGCTAACTACCGCTTCTAGACGGCAGGTGCACGCAAAGGTGCTCAGAACTCCTCCTCGCTGCTCAAAGTGTCGAGTGGTGAGAAAATTCACCTCGATCGTCGCGTGGGTGTCGCTTCCCACTTCCACCAGGTCGCCAGTGGCAGTCTGGCACACAGTCTTCGGTCGCTTCTTTCTCGACAAAACCTTGACGTGTCCACTCTCAAGCGTCGCCTGGGAAACCACATGGTACGAGCTCCCAGAGTCGAGAAGCCAATAGATCTTCTCTCCCGACTCAACGAAGGAAGGTGCGACCATGGGCATCCCAAAGTACGCTCCCTCAAGGAACGTTCTGACGCCCTTTTCTGTTCCCTTCCCAACGTCGCCCTTCGTAGTGGGCTGGTTGCTCGGCGCCTTTGGCGCAGCCTTGGCAGCTGCAGCGCTCCCCGAACTCTCAGCAGCGCCTGTCGTCACAGTGGCGTTTTTGTCACCCTTGTCGCCTTTTCCAGCACCGAACGCGCTCAGGTAGCCGTGGTGGTGCTCCTTCTGGAAGTTTAGCACTCGAAGCTGCTCGTCGTAAAACTGCAGCCCTTGCAACATTGCATCCAGACCGCTGGTGGTCTGGTGCAACAAAAGGTACTTCTTCGCGTCCTCGTCCAGGTGCTTCAAGACTCCCAGAACAGCTTCTTGCTCGTGCACCTTAAGCTCAGGGTACTTCTTGCCAACCTGAGACTCAAACTTCATGAGCTCAGTCATATACCACCTCATCACATCAAGTGGTCGCTTGAGGTGCTTGGGAGGATGAAGATTGATCATCTGCTCCCTCAGCGCTTGGCCCTCCACCCTCGAACGGACCGAAAGCTTTCGGTTGAGCAGGCGCCAGAACTCGTATCCAGCACTTGCTCCTTTTGAGCAACCTCGATCAGGTGGATGAGGTCCTGGGCTCTTGAATCTGGCGTAGCAGAAACCAAAGCTTGCTGGACCGCGCTGCCTTCCCGACGTCCAACGTACTCTGCTGAACTGAGACGGCGCTCTGCTCTGACTCGTCCAGCTCTTCTGCGAACCGGTCGTCAAGCAAACAAAGCCAACTGGTGAGCTCCTTCTTGTAAGCACTCCAAACCCGAATCTCAAAATGCTTCGAATTCATCGAGGCAAAGTTTATCTGAGGCAGGTCCTTCACCAGGTTAGCAACTTACTGCACTTGGGCCGCTTGGAGCAACTGGAGGCAAAGTTGGCGCAGAAGGCTGTAGTGGCGTTTCCAAACTGAAGTATTGCACCAGATGCGCAGTCTGGCTGTCGAAGTTGGCCGCAGGGCCTCGATCTACTCGAACGGTGTGTAAAAGGGAACCTTGAGTACCTAGCTCCTTTTGCACTGGGCAGTGGGGCAGTCTCTCTCTTCGCAGTTTGCCGTTGGCATTGACGGTGCTCTTACGGTTGGATTGTGCTGTCAGGTGGTGGCCGTCGAGCCAATGCTGGTCGCTTGATGCCTCGCCTTGCAGTCGATGATTAGTCTTGCTGGTTGCTCTGCGCTCCAAACCATTCTGAGCTGCTGGTACACTTCTCGGCGCTGAGGCAGACCTTGCAGAGAGACGAGAACTAAACGACTCCCACTCGAGTCACAGCTTCTCTCTCTCGGAGAGCGGTCTTCCACCACCTGGACACTGGCCCACACTTTTCACTCTGCTGTTCTTCAACAGTCGAGTCTTGAGCCAACCGGTACGGCTTGAAGCTTCAATACAAAGCTCTTTGAACTTCAAACACTTCGTAGCTTGTGAGCACTACAGCGAACTTGGGCTTGGACATCAGGCTGCAGCTCTTCACAAACACTTCCAAGCATCCGCAAAGCTCACTCTGACGTTTGGGCGCGACCGACAGCGGACCGACCGATCCACCAACAGACCGATCAAAACCAAGGTTTCGAAAATATGCGAAATCGTTTTGTTCCAAGATCTGAACAGGACTTCTTGAGCTGTGTGGAGATATGTATCGAGAGGTGCGACTAGCGGTTCCGAATTTATGCACGATGCTAACTCCAAAACCTCTCATGCACGACATGGACTCACCTGCTCTTGCCAGATTTTTTTTGCTCTTTTAGTAGAAACCCATTTGTACATTCCTTGCCTCTGCCTTGCTTCTGGTTGCATTTGCTGTTGCTGGAACGGCTGTTGCGTCCAACTGCACTTTTCGCTGCCGGAAGTTGTGCTTCTACTTCAATTTCTTCTGCAGAACGTTCGACTTTGCCACTCCGCATGCGCCCGCCTTCCTTTTTGCTCTCTGAGTCTGTACGAGCGTCAAATCAGATTTTTTTCAAAAACTTTTCAAGCAAACCATTCTTTCCATGCTTGGATCAGAAGATGATTGTACATCTTTATGAAAAGGTATCAAGACGAATGAATTGCTCTTTTTTGGTTGCGTGTCTCTTTGTGCAAGTTGCATCCGCTGTCAGAAATCTCGATCTTGGGAGGTCTTGCGCCTCAGCACGGACGGACAACATCGATTCTGCGCCTGTTTTGGAAAAAGTGTCACTTGATTTTTGGTGTTTTCCGTCTGTCTCAAATGTTAAAAGTGTTTTGGAATCAGGTTAGTGACCAATTGTTTTGTCTCGTTTCGTTTTGCTTCGAATGTTTTCAGTTCAAGTGAAAGATGCACACTCTGTTTTTCTTGGAAGCGGACTCGGCCTCGCCTAGGTAATTGCAAAAGTGGGGGTGCTGGTTCCTTACATTTCTGGTTTGGATTGAAGCAGACGCATTTCTCAAATTTCTTCATGCTACATATTACTGGGACGATTTAGATGGCAAGAATCAAAAAATGTGCGGAAATTTGTGTAATGTGGACTGTAGATGGTGTCGGATCCGTGAGTGTTGGGAGAGCAGCGGCGTGGGCGTTGACGTAAGCCGTGGCGCCGAGAGTGGGCTCGAAGCTGGTCTGTTGGCGGCGGCCACAAAGCCAGATGTTTTGTTTTTTCGATTTTGGATTGCATTGAAAACCTATCTAAGGCTTTCATGGGGAAGCTGCAGTCTTTAACTGTCGATCGCCCGTGTTGGAGCCATCTGACTTGCGACAGCTTGAGTTGCAGAAAACTCAATTGCTGCAGGGCTGGGTTTTTTTTTGGTTTACGTTCGGAGTTCTGGGAGTGCTGGTTCCAAACTGGTTGCTTTGCCTCCCAAGTCTTTCTGGAAGGGGTCCGGGAGGGGTGCGAACGTGTGCGGAAGTGTGCGGGTGTGTGCGGGAGTGTGCGGGGAAGTGTGCGGGGAAGTGTGCGGGTGAGTGTGCGGGTGTGCGCGGGGTGTGCGCGGAAGTGTGCGGATGCGCGCGCTGTGTGCGCAAGTGTGCGGGTGTGTGCGCCGTGTGCGGGTGTGTGCGGGTGTGTGCGGTTGTGTGCGGGTGAGGTTTGGTTGTAAATTTGTCCTGCAACAACCGAATCCCAGAACCAGCAGGAAGATCCGTTCTCCGCGGAATTTTTGTTGAATCCTCAAGGAAAGAGCTGGAATCAACCGGAAAGGACGGAAAAGCTCTGTTTTCTGATGAAATAGCCAAAATCGGCCGATTTGGACGCCGGCCAGCGGCCACGGGCCACGGCCTCGGGCCGCCCCATGCTTGGATACCGAGTCCGAGTGGATGCTTTGATCAACAGCACGGCGAACCTATTCTTAATTTCATATTTTCGTTTTTGAAGAGCACATAGAGAATTTGAAAGATATTTTTTCAGGTATGGAGTTCATTTATTTTCGAAATAGTTGTGGCAGGGGAGCTACGTCAGACAAAGTCTATAATTGATATGATCAATATCATATATTATATTGAAATTCAAAATATAAGTTATTTGATTTGCTTACGCTACCATAGCTTTGGTCCATGTTTGCACTCTGTGTCTTAGTCGAGTCGCAGGATTTTCTTGAAGAGCGATGATTTATCACAATCTTTTCTTTGTAGCATGCTTTCCGGAGCTAATAGTATCGTTTGGTCGAATCATCCCCGAACACCCTGGCCAGCACCCCCCGTTTTGCAAGTACCTAGCCTCGCCTGTGCAGGTAGAAGTTAAGAGTTCTTCTGGAAGGCACCTGTGCCAGCATCAAAGTTACCTGTTTGGACCAGATTCTGTTTGTCCGAAAAAGTCCGCAGCTCAAAGAGTGAGTTCTAGCTGCTGTGTCTGGACCTCTGTTCGGAAACCAGTACCGCCGATGTCCACTTTGAGTGCGAACCAACTGCAGCACACGCAGTCAAAATATGTTCAAGGAGGTTGGCTGCATTTCGCGGCTCCTTTTCTGGGGCCGCGAGACGGCCCCATTTTTGGGGTCGCAAGTTTGATTCCTGCACCCACTGGAAGGTCGGAACTTGTCCAAAGCAGCTGTGTTTGCTTGCACTTAATATGGTGCTGCAGCCAGCGGAGTGCAACTGTTCTCTCATGTCTTTCACTTCTACAGGCAAGCTGTCTGTTGGAAATTCTTGTTCTTGGAGAATGTGGATGCCTGCCTGTGGGCGGGTCGCCTTGATGTTGCAGTGTGTGTGGAATGCAGGGGCTTGGCTTGGACCGCAACATGCGAAATTCGCGAAACAGGGGCCGCCAAGCGGCCCCGATTTTGGGGTCCTCTAGTTGCCAGTCAAAATATGTTCAAGGAGGTTGGCTGCATTTCGCGGCTCCTTTTCTGGACGGCCCCATTTTTGGGGTCGCAAGTTTGATTCCTGCACCCACAGCGGCTGAATCTCGTCAGCTGTGCATGTCATTGATTGTATTGACTTTGGGGAGCGTCTGGTGGAGGACCGTTTGGAAGGTCGGAACTTGTCCAAAGAAGCTGTGTTGCTTGCCCTTAATGGTGCTGCAGCCAGCGGAGTGCAACTGTTCTCTCATGTCTTTCACTTCCACAGGCAAGCTGTCTGTTGGAAATTCTTGTTCTTGGAGAATGATTTTTCCACACTGGATGCCTGCCTGTGGGCGGGTCGCCTTGATGTAGCAGTGTGTGTGGAATGCACGGGCTTGGGCCCCAACATGCGAAATTCGCGACCCCAAAACAGGGGCCGCCAAGCGGCCCCGATTTTGGGGTCCTCTAGTTGCCAGTCAAAATATGTTAAAGGAGGTTGGCTGCATTTCGCGGCTCCTTTTCTGGGGCCGCGAGACGGCCCCATTTTTGGGGTCGCAAGTTTGATTCCTGCACCCACAGCGGCTGAATCTCGTCAGCTGTGCATGTCATTGATTGTATTGACTTTGGGGAGCGTCTGGTGGAGGACCGTTTGGAAGGTCGGAACTTGTCCAAAGCAGCTGTGTTGCTTGCCCTTAATGGTGCTGCAGCCAGCGGAAGTGCAACTGTGGAGGGCCGACCTGGCGAAGCCAGAATTGCTTGTGTTTTGCGGGCCTTAAAATGGGGTCGCCCGACAGCCCCATAACTGTGCAGCTTTGAGATCGTACAAAGACAGGGAATTTTTCCAGAGGTGACTCTAGCATCTCTGAACAGAGCAGATCAAGCCATGCCATGCAGAGTTATGGTATCGAGAAGGTCGGCCGGAACAGATCATACAAGAGCGGCGGAATTTTCTGGAAGGCATCTCCACCAGATCTGAACAGGACTTCTTGAGCTGTGTAGAGTTATGGTATCGAGAGGTGCGGCTGACGGTTCGGAATTTGTGCACGGTGCTTAACTCCAAAACCCCTCATGCACGACATGGGCTCACCTGGCTCTTGCCAGATTTTTTTTGCTCTTTTAGCAGAGACCCATTTGTTACATTCCTTGCCTCTGCCTTGCTTCTGGTTGCATTTGCTGTTGCTGGAACGGCTGTTGCGTCCCTCAAACAGTCCGAACTGCACTTTTCGCTGCCGGAAGTTGCGCCTCTACTTCAATTTCTTTTTGCTCTCTGAGTCTGTGCGAGCGTCAAATCGGGTTTTTTTTTTAAAAACTTTTGCAAGCAAACACCATTCTTTCCAATGCTTGGATTAGAAGATGATTGTGGCTACATCTTAATAAAAGGTATCAAGACCAATGAATTGCTTTTTTGGTTGCGTGTCTCTTTGCGCAGGTTGCATCCGCTGTCACAAACCTCGGCCTTCGGAGGTCTTGCGCCTCAGCACGGACGGACAACATCGCAACAGGCGCTTCAAGGGACTTTGTTGCTCAGCAAATTCCACCACATCTCCGCGCAACACAGACCCGTGCCACCCCCCCGCAACACAGGTCCGTGTATTTTCTGATTTCGGACAGGATTCTGCGCCTGTTTGGAAAAAGTGTCATTTGATCTTTGGTGTTTTTCGGTCTGCCTCAAATGTTAGAAGTGCTTTTGAATCAGGTTAGTGACCGCACTCGTTTTGTCTCGTTTCGTTTTGCTTCGAATGTTTTCAGCTCAAGTGAAAGATGCACACTCTGTTTTTCTTGGAAGCGGACTTCGGCCTCGCCTGTGCAAGGTAGAAGTTAAGAGTTCTTCTGGAAGGCACCTGTGCCAAGAAAGCATCAAAGTTACCTGTTTGGACCAGATTCTATTTGTCCGAAAAGTCCGCCTGCAGCTCAAAGGTGGAAGTGTTCTAGCTGCTGTGTCTGGAACACCTGTTCGGCCACCAGTGCCGCCGATGTCCACTTTGGGTGCGGACCAACTGCAGCACACGCGGCTCCAATACTGGGGTCGAACAAGCTAAGCAATTTGGCTTCGCTTGAGTGGCCCCCCTCTGTACCATGCCAAACAAATCGTACTCTTCCACTGGACTTGCTTGATTTGGATGGAGGAGTCTTTACTTGCGTGTTCAAATATCCGTGAGGTCGCAAGCAAGCACGACGAAGGTCATGTGAAAGTACCAGCTTGGAAAACAGTGGGAAGAAGGC